TTCAAAGTTTTTATAACAAAGATAGTTAAGGAAAGTTTCTGGATATTGTGATAAGCTTCCAATAAATGCGTATTTTCCATTTCAAAAATTCAAACTAAATTATTTTACAAACTGTTTTCTCGATGTCATTTTTTCAAATTCGTTTAGTGTGCGAGAAGGGTTGAACGTAATTTCAGAGAAGAGTGAGGGCTCAATATTGTCAAATTGATTTTTTACACTAGATAACGTTTTATTGATGTGTCACCGTTTTTTTAATTCTCTCAAAAATTTCAAATATACCTCTTCAATATTGCTTGGAGAGAGCGTAAAAATCTTATAAAATGTCGAAAACCGCAGCTCAATATCTTTATTCGCTCAATATCGATATATACAGCGTGTCCGCAAAGTTGAGGTTTTCCTTTTCAGAAACAACTACCCTTGAAATAACAAAGGTAATGTGTAGTGAAACGAGGGCGACCAAGTAAAAAAATAAAGGAAACAGTACTCACTCTCCAGTTGACGAGAAGGGCTGAGTACGTCTCTGCCCGAAATCATACCGCTCCAACAGAAAATGAAATCAGATGATGCGCTACCGAGCAGACGCAGGCGGTGGTGCAGACCACGAACAGAGGTAACAAATATGGCGGCGTTGTCGCGTTTTCAGTTTTTAGCTAAACGTACTTTATAGGTATCGTTCGAAGTTATCGCCGTTTGATTCAAAAACACAGGTGTGTCACGACGTAGCCAAGCATCGGAGCAGGCTTTGAGAATGGAGTCCCTCCGCTGAATGAAAGCACCAGCTTGTTCAATTCTGAGACGAAGTTCGTCAACCGTATGCACTTCAGTTTTGTACACTAAGCGTTTCATTTCTCCCCAAAGAAAAAAATCACATGGTGTTAAGTCTGGAGATCGGGGAGGCCACGCTACGGGTCCATTACGTCCGATCCACGTATTCGGAAATAATTCATTCAAAAACTCACGCACTTCGCGTCCAAAATGGGGCGGTGCATCATCGTGCAGAAACCACGTTGATTGTCTTACATTTAATGGCACAACTTCTAACAAGGAAGGCAAAATGTTGCATAAAAAGTCTAGGTATTGCATCCCGTCCAATCGATTTGGGAGAATAAGTGGTCCAATGAGCATACCGTTCACCATGCCAGCCCAAACAATCACCGAAAATGTTTGTTGAAAATGTGCCCGACGGACAGCGTGCGGATTTTCTACTGACCAAACATGAGTGTTGCGAAAGTTATTCACCCCATTACGCGTGAACGTAGATTCGTCTGTCACAAATATGCACTTCAAAAAGTCCGGATTATTGTCATGTTGATGCAACAACCACTCACAAAACCGCACTCTTGCTGGAAAATCGTCAGGTTGAAGGGCTTGTACACGTTGGACGTGAAACGGATACAGCCCCTCTTCACGCAGCGTTTGCCACACTTTAGTTTTTGATACTTGCACTTCTCTAGCCACGTCTCTAGTGCTTGTTGAGGGATTCTCGTCTACGCGATTACCTCTACACGCGTGACCGTAACCGTCGGTTGAAGGTTGCATACTGACCTGACACACTGAGACCCCGACCCAGTTCTGTCGTCGGGTTGAGCCAGTGACATTGTACCAGTCGGTGATGTCGCGGCTACAGGACGGTATTCAGATATTTTTGATGTTGCAGAGCCCTTTATCTCGGTTTCCTTAAGACATTTGTATATGGTACTAAGAAAAATTGCTTATGTTTTCAAGATCTACACGTCGTGTAAAGGAAAACCCCAACTTTGCGGACACCCTGTATATATATATATATACAGGGTGACTTTGAAGTTGAGTCGTTAGTTTTCAGTTAATGATTGTAGAAGGAAGATAAACCAAAATATGTGTGTAAAAATAAAAAAAAATTAAAAAAATTTGTTTACCTTGTTTTATAAAGTATTCTCCCGACAAGTATTTCAGTGCGGACCTGTATTTGATCGTGAGGTCTTGGAGCACCGGCATGCAGTCCCCTGTGTGGTCTTAAGTCACCTGATTCACGAGCCCGTTGTACTACATTAACAAAGGCACGAGGGGTTGGTTGCACTCGATTGGGAAATCGATCCGCATAAACATGTGCCATTTTTTATTTCGTTTGAGCCACGCAACAGACACTACTATTCACTGACACTGACTGTATACAAATGAATAAAATAATTGTAAAAACATCGTTCCAAATTCTTTTGCTTTTTTGTTTCCGATGCGATGAACCGATACGGCGGATTATATCCGTTGTCGCCAGACACGAGCACATATTATTATTGAGACAGGGCGGTACTCAAACTTCCAAAGGGCTATAACTTTGTTACTTTAATTTTACCAGAAAAATGGTAAAGGAAAAAAACATTTCTTTTGATCAGATCTACTCACTGTTAAAATAAATGACTCAACTTCGAAGTCACCCTGTATATGAAGAGGAAATGATCATGCGGAGAAAGGTATATAACAAGAGTAGGAAAATAATGGGCAAAATCCGCCAAAAGGGGTAAAGTTCGAGCAGAAAATAGGATAGGTAACCCGAGCGATACGTATTTCTGCTGGTTGGCTTTATCAGGCCCGAGATGAATGCGCATATGCAACTACAAAAGCAGATACACATGCCCACACATCCGGACACGGGTTTAACCTGAGGAAACGAAGATGGAGAGAGAAAAAGTCGACAGACGAAGTCCACAACAAGAGCCAACCTATATTATATATATATATAAGATGTAAAGTACGCTTAAATTACAATTTTCAAGTACTACTGGATACAAAGAAAAATTCAAGCTATTAATAGTTGTGAAAAATATATCAATACGAAACAAACATAAGAGACAGGTTTTCGTTATTGTAGAAACCTTAAAAGAAACAATTCAAATTGGGATCACAGTATTCCAACATGCCTTGCTTGTGCGTAGAAGTAAATTGTTGCATTTCATAATTACACATTAATAAAATTTGACATTGAGTATTTATTGAGTTATTTATGCAGAAAGTATTGATTTTTCAGTTACAGACAAGTTATTCCTTTGATGCATTTTCTAGTTTTTGGATCTGATATGACATGTACATCGCAAAAAACCATACCACTCATCCTCATCGATCTACTTGTCTGTCTGTCGGTTTGTCCGCCTTTAACTTGAGAAGTACCGCTCAGCTTTAGATGAGATTCTCATACAAGGTTACTAGTATACCAAGGATGAAATAGCTTTGTAGTTTTTGAAAATTAAATGATAAAAGTTCGATGTATAATGTGCTCAAGTGGTCTGCGGTGGTGTCGTCACTGACACGCCGCTACAGGAGAAACATTTATATACTTTAGCAATATTTGGTGATTAGGAGTGCGTACCGCTTTAGCGTTCTGCGATGCTTTTGTTAATGATAACTTACGATGTGTCCCTAAATAAGAATCGAAAATAGATATAAAAAACCTCAGCTAGAATCAACTTTGAATAATACGCTCTCATTTGATCCACCCACGTATTTTCTTGGATCGTAAAATCTCGCACACCCGGAAGAAAATCATCAAATGGATTCTTCAGACCGTTCCTGCTTGAAACGTCTTGTCTGAAAAAAAGACAGTCCAAGCTTATATCAGCAAACTCTCACGATTCACATGGAACGTTCGATTTCAGCATTTCCACCGCTGCACTGTCCTGGTAGCTGCTTTGATTACGACCACCTTGAACCCGGATTACGTGCCGCTTGAATAATAAATATCACAGTCGGTTGTGAAAGGAATCGTACGTCACTCCATTTATCAACTGTTCTCTGGTGCTTTGTTCGAAGTTCCCACTGCGATATTTTTCCACGTAAGGCGCTATTAATGCGTTCTTTTCTTTTGCACGTTTCGTACAACTTCCGTAAGTGGAGAATTAAAAAAAAATCCGTCAAGAAGATTGGATCTACAATTTCTATGCCTGCGTTGAAGATTTCAAAGAAAATTGATGCGTCAAATCGTTTCAAAAGGTGAATTTGAATCGTGATTAGGTAGGTTCGCTAGGATGAATCTTCGACCTGTGCGTGTCAAACCATATAAAGCATTGATTCCCAAAGTAGTCTATATCGACCGCTAGGGGTCTATGATAACCTGCAAGGGATCTACGTCAGCGAAAAAAAAATTGGGGGTGCATGAAATGAATATGGGGGTCCACGATAGTGGATCTCAACACATACACTGATAGTACCTATTTACTTACATCATACTATCTTATAATATCAAACATATACATTATTTAAAAGTACCTGAGGTAAAAAATTTATTATATATGTTTACAAAATTGTGTAAGTTGTAGGATGTTGGTATTCGCTTCGTGGTCGCAATACACTTTGAACTTGTAAAAACCTGAGAGTCGCAGTCTCAGAGCTTCGCTACCTTGCACTGACTTGTTCAATCCGTCACTCTATAAATACGAATGTGGGACAAATACGTTTATTCGTTTCCTGAATCTTGAAAAGGAAAGTGCTAAGAAAATATTTAAAAAAATATAAACAGATAGTATATCACACAAATTATAGTGAGTCAGTGTTTTTTGTTTGAGAGCGCTGGAGAAAAGTAAGTACATTATTTTTTATTAAATTTTAGTTTTGTACTCGTAGTTAGCAAAGATAGATAAATTACGCCAATCATGACTTTAGTTATTAGTAGTTAAATATTCAATCATGCAAAATTGCACGAGTACTCCTCAATAGTTTCTTTTTGAAAGTTTTAGCAATCGGTAATATAATTACAGTGCAATCTCCGTAATTCGAGCTAATTGTTGCAAGAAGATGTTCGAATTATGGAATGTTTTCGGAAAGATCAAAAAATATTTTAATATACAGCTGCTGGATTTTCTGTCTGTTAGATAATTTAATTTTGCCCACAGATGACTGATGCCATGTTCGAATCTAAAAAGAAATGTAGACAGTACAGTGTTGATTATTTGAAATTTGGCTTCATTCCATCATTGCCGGACAAACAATCGCCTATGTGCCTTTTATGCAACAAAGTTTTGGACAATGACGCTATGAAACCATCTAAACTGCAAGATCATCTGAGAAGATGCCACCCTGATAAAACAGAGAAAGATTTGAAATACTTTCAAACACTCAAAGATAAATTTCAGAAGAGACCTACAGTGGACAGAATGTTCGCTTCGACATCACAAAGAAATGATGATGGTTTGCGGGCGTCTTACAATATCTCGTTACTTATAGCAAAATCCGGAAAACCGCATACTATCGGAGAGAAGTTAATTTTGCCTGCCGTTGAAGAGGTTTTAAAAACTGTTTTACACAAACCTGCATCTGATATCATTAAAACAATTCCCTTAAGCAACAATACTGTTGAAAGACGTACTGATGAAATGAGTTCTGATATTGAAAGCTTCTTATGTAGTTATTTGCAAACGACCCATTTCTCTATACAACTGGACGAGTCAACTTTACCTGATAATGCAGCATTATTATTGGCATATGTTCGTTTTATTATGAATCAAGAAATCTACGAAGAACTGCTCTTCGCAAGAACTTTGATAACCGACACTCAAGGTGAATCAATATTTTATGTTTTGAAGGATTACTTCATTGAAAAAGCAATTCCTTTATCAAATATAATATCAGTAGCTACAGATGGAGCACCTGCCATGGTTGGACGTTATCGCGGATTATAAGCTGTTAGGTACTATCCGTGTATGTGGTGTAACACCTTCTTTTATCGTCGTGTCTGTTTTTGCTTACTATAGTGGGTTATTTTTGAGAGACAATTTTCAAATTTGAACCAGTGCTGCATCTACATGTGAGCAATTTTTATAAATTATACGCTGAAAAACTGCAACTCAGAAACACTGATTTTGAGGATTAATTACAAAACGCAAATAAGTACACAAAAAACAGCACGAGAAAAATCGACAAAAACGACCAGTGAGTATATTCCTAATCACCATATATTTACGAAAGACAAGATAACAAATAAGAAAACAAACAGTCCCGTATCCAGTTGAAAATGGTAGCTAGGTTCAAATGATGCAAAACAAAAGAAGCTCTTTCTTATTTTTGCATATCATGCCATGCAATTTTTCACGCGAGCTGTGCAAATAGATTGAGTTCAATTGTAAAGCTCTCAAATAACAGAGTATATTGTTCTGCTGCCTGTGAATCGGAGGATAACGAGCATCGAAACTACGATTCTTACACTACAGAAATTAACTCATTAAAGCACGAGATACAAGATAAAGAGAAACATATAATTAGATTAACGAAGAAGGCCAAGGATTTTGAAGAAGATGTTTTTGAATCTGAACAAAGTTTCATAGAGGAGCAAAATTCTTTTAAAGACCAATTGAAAAACCAAAAAGAAAGAATGTGTACACTACAAAAAGAAATAGTCGACGCAGAAGAGAAGAACAAAAACCTTCAGAACCAGATGGACAGTTATGAACAAATGACAAAAGACATGCAAACAGAGATGACGAAGCTAAAAAATATTCATGCCGATATGCTGAAAACCATTAGTCTTTTGGAAGAAACAAACAATGCATACTCAAGGAAAATAGCCGAATTAGAAGAAAGAACAAAAGAAGACAGGTGTCGATTGTCGGAGAACACTGAAGGAAATGCCAACGATCAACAGAATATATTAGACGATAGGGATAAACAGCTGAGGACTGAGGAAAATGTATCTTTGAATGATGAACTTTTTAAACAATCCAGGAACAGTGCGAAGACTTCCAAGAAACTGCTCATTGTGGGCGATCAATTGGCCAGAAACTGCGCTAGAGTCTTACATAATTCAATGAAGAGCATAGGCTATATAGTTGAAGGAATTGTTAAGCCCAACACAGAGGCTGCAAATATCACAAGTAATATTTTCACTCAAACTATGGATCATGGACAAAGTGACTACGTAATTATTGTTTTCAGCACAAAAAACATAAGCAACCACAAAACATTGAACAGTTTCTAAAGTCCGAGCCTGTAGATGAAGCCTTAGCAGTTCTATTGGAAAACAAAATAACTAGTTATATTAAAAATAACCCTAACTGTTCAGTGAAGTTATTAGTAGTAAAGAATGGTTTTCGCAAATCACTGGCAAACATCATAAGAAGTCATGTGCAGACGAGCTGCTCTACCCTCAAAAGAAACGTTTTGTTATCGCCTCCAATAATTCCAATTTATAAAATGGAACGTCGAGTGCATTGCAACAGTGAGAGTACTGGTGCTTTTTTACTGGCCAGTGGGAATCCGATACTAATCACCTAGTACGACATGATTCGGGTAAACAGAATGTATCGAAAAATTCCTTATCACACGCTCGCGCCTGTGAAGTGCGCACGAATGATTGTCGGTATAAACTTTTACATTTAAACGTACAGTGTTTGAGAAACAAGGTTGATGAACTTGAGTTGGTGGCAAAACAGCACAGTTATGACTTTCTTTGTTTGAATGAGCATTGGTTGACTTGCGATGAGATTAATACTCTGAATATTTGTGAATATATGAATGTGTCTAGTTTTTGCAGGTCAAGCAAAATCCACGGTGGTGTTTGTATTTATGTCAATAATAAGTTTAGTGCTAAGCCTTTGTGTGACAAAGTTTTAAACATTTCTGAGGAGTTACACTTTGAGGTTGCTGGTGTCACCTGTTTGGATGGCACACAAATTCTAACCATATATAGATCACCAAATGGAGACTTCAATATATTCTATAATAAGCTTCAAATACTACTTAGTACTTTAGACTATAAGCAAAATATAATCATATCTGGTGATTTTAATTTTAAATTTAACACTCACGACAAGCATGCCAATGTGATGTGTGATATTTGTGTTTCTTTTGGACTGTATCAGACTGTGAATGTGAATACTAGGCAGAATGCTTGTCTAGATAATATTTTCACCAATATAAACATGTCAAGCATAGTTGTAGAAGCCTTTGATACATGTTTTTCTGACCATTTAGGTATTGCATTTCATTTTAATTTGAAAACTCTAAAACCTGTTAGGAAGAGAATAAACTACAGGCCTGTCACTGATGAAGGTCTTTTCAAGTTATACAGTAAAATTGAAACAGTCGACTGGATCTTTTTGTCTGATATTAGTTAACCACTGACCACTAAACTCGAACGATTCATGAACATCTTAACAAATAATATCGCTGAGTGCTTGCCAATCAAATCTAGGTTAGTATCAGAGGGTTGTCGCAACAAAATCAACTGGTTTGATCACGAATTGGCTCATATGAGAGAGACTTTTGGAACTAATAACACAAATTAATAAAGATAATCCACAAGTAGTATCAAAGAAGGAGATTAATGTCTTCAAATCAAAGTACCGATCAGAAATCAGAATTAGGAAAAAAAATGCTCATGATAAATATATACGTAGAGCGTCAGATAAACAAGCAGCTATGTGGAACGTGATTAAATCCAATGGTATGCAATCATCAAAAGCACATTCGTCTACTCTCAGCGCGAATGATTTAAACTCTTTCTTCGTCAGCATTGCTGATACCATTATCGCTGAAATTCCAGCTACCCAGTCGAACTTCAAAGATTTTATACAGACTAGTGATACACTACATTTCAACTTTCGAACTGTTTCATTCAATGATGTTCGAGACGCAATCAAAAGCTTAAAGAATTCTAAAAGTAAAGATCCATATGACATCGATGTTAAAATTATGAAGACCTTAAATAACTTGTTAGTATATCCTATAACAAAATTGATAAACATGTGTATAGAAAATAATGTCTTTCCTGCCTTATTAAAACTTGCAAAGATTGTGCCACTCTTCAAGAAAGGCTGTGAGAATGATCCATGTAATTTCAGACCCATCTCTATAATACCAATTATAGCAAAAATTTTCGAAATTCTTCTGAAGAATCAGATATGTGAATACTTCGAAGGTAACAATTTATTCTGTAACAACCAGTTTGGATACCGTACCAACAGATCAACGAAAGCAGCAATAAACAATTTTATCAGTTTCATCAACAAATGTCTGGAAGATAACATGTTTGCCCTCGCTAACTTCTATGATCTTACAAAAGCATTTGATTGTGTCCAACATCACATTTTGATTCAAAAGTTGTCGCTGTATGGTTTTAGTAATAATAGCCTGTCCTTAATTGCGTCTTATTTATCAGATAGAAGACAGTATGTTAGTTTTCAAAATTGTTTATCCAACAATGTGCATATTAAGCACGGAGTTCCCCAAGGAAGTGTCTTGGGACCGATTCTTTTTTTGATCTACATCAATGATCTGCCAAACTGTAGCATCAATCAGTATATATTATTTGCGGATGACACGACATCAATATCCTCCAATAGTAACTTTGATCATGTATTGCTCGATTCTCAGCAGCATTTTGACAACATTCAAAACTGGTTTAATGCCAACAGTTTGTCAATCAACATAGCGAAAACTCAATCTCTTCTACTCAGTACTCGTCCACATAGAAGTGATTTAGTAGAGCCCGTGAAATTTCTTGGAGTGATTATTGATGCAAGCTTAACTTGGGAATCACACATCACTTCTTTATCAAAGAAGTTATCTAAAATAACATATATGATACGTAGTTTAAATACCTACATAACAAAATCGACTTTAATGACAGCCTATTATGCTTACTTCCAATCTAACTTGCAATACTGCATACTGATTTGGGGACATTCATGTCATGTATCGAAGGTGTTTGCTGTTCAGAGACGATGCTTGAGAATAATAGCAAACTTATATTTCAGACAGTGTTGCAAGACGACATTTATCGACCTAAAAATTTTAACTGTGCCATGCATATATATACTGGAATGTCTGATCCACGTTAAAAATAATTACGATGATTACAGAACTCCGAAAGAGATTCACAAATATAACACAAGGTTCAACAATGAATTAATACCAGAGTACACAAGACTTTCAAAAACTAGACACGGAAGTAATTATTTCGGTGTGAAATTTTTTAATGCGCTGCCCAAGTTTTGTCAAACACTCAACTCAACCATTTTTAAAGCAACTGTGAAAAGATATTTAGTGACGAAAGCTTTTTACAGCATAGATGAGTTTTTAAATAATGATTTTACCGACTTTGTTCCATAATTGTTGACTATTTATTACTTTGTTTTCGTTTGTTTTTTTTATGTGTTATTTTTGTATTATATTTTATCGTTCTCCAGACGTGTGTAAGGACATTTGAGTACAAACATGAAAAAATGATTAGTATTTCATAATTTTTTAACCATCTTATTTTATTGTTCCTCTAAATTTTAAAATAGTTTTATCAAGTTTTTTTTACCTTTTATTGCCACTTTGTGTTTTACGTTTGTCTTATTTTCGTATTGTTTGTTACTTTTACTTACTCTTTTATGTTCTACTTTAAATGACCTGTGCAAACACATTTTTGTGTAATAGTACCAATAAATTATTATTATTACTATTATTATTATCATCATGATCATCATGATCATCAACATCGGCGATGGTTTGCCGCTCAGCAACTTCATACCCGGCGTGATGTACCCACCTGCCCTTCTCCATCCCGCTGGTCCTACATTTGTCCAGCCCAAATGACATTTTTATGTCGCGACTGAATCGGGTGACGCAAGTCAGAAGGTCGTCAAGGTGTTTTTTAGACTTTGCATACAGCTTTAACTCATCCATGTACCAAAGGTGACTAATATTCTTATCTGAGTGTGGCAGTATATAACCTTTGCGCTGCCTATTCAACATAATTGTCAGGGGTCGCAGCGACAGACAGAACCATTATTATGATGATTATTATTATTATTATAATTATAATTATTATTATTATTATTATTATAATTATTATAATTATTATTATTATTATTATTATAACTATTATAATAATTGTAATTATTATTATTATTATTATTATAATTATTATAATAATTGTAATTATTATTTGTTTATTTTCCACAGCCCTATCTATTCAACTGGTTCTGTCCATGTGGGCCGGTTTTGGTTGGTCATTTTCATTATGGTACTTCGAAGATGTTACCCACATCCTAACGAAGTCCATTACCTTATAGTGTCTTACGTAATATGGTTGCTGTACCATACAAAGCAATCTCCTGCACGTCTGCTGCCCTGTGCCTTCCTGGTATGAGATTTAGGTTTTCATGTAGATTGTCTGGGATCGTCCCTAATGCACCTAAAATTACGGGAACTATCTTCGTCCTCAGATTCCACATTCTTTGGATTTCAATTGAGAGATCTTTGTATTTCAATTTCTTTTCAGCTTCTTTGTTTACAACGTTTTCATCGTTGGGGACTGAAACATCTATTAGCAGGCAGGTTTTGTCACGTTGGTTTTTGACGATTATGTCTGGGCGGTTCGCGGATATCTCACGATCTGTTTGCACTGGTAAGTCATATATTATGGTAATCTCATCTTTACTAACTACTGGAGTGGGGTTGTGATTATACCATTTTTCTTCCACTGCGATATCAAAGCTTATACAGATGGCATGATGCAAGTATATGCATATTTTATTATGTCGGACCAAGTACTCGTGCTTCGCCAGTTGAGGACATCCGGATATAAGATGATCTATTGTTTCTGAGTATTGTTTGCACATTCGACATCTATCATTTGCTGTTATTTTGAGGATATGTTTCTCATAATGTCTTGTACGTAAGGCCTGGTCTTGGGCGGCCCTTATCAGGGCCTCTGTTTCACCTTTTACCTTCCCTCTTGTGAGCCACGCAAACGTTTGGCATTCATTAATCCCTGGCCTCTTAATTCTCTTCACGTATTGACCATGAAGCTGCTTTCGTATCCATTTATCCTTCAAGGTCTTCCTTGTCATGGACTTAATATCTGTAGACAGTAATTCTTCTTCATCCTGGACCGCTTGATTTTCTATTTCCGGTAAATGTGTCTTTACAATTTTTATCGCTGACTTGACTACTGACTTTCCAACTCGAGGGTGCCTTTCACATCTCCAAATTTGTCTAACTAACTTATCATTTCTGCGGCTTCTTAAATAATTGGCTATGGATACAACTGTATTATCATAAGTCATCTCTAATTGCCTGAGTCCTCTACCTCCTTCTTTACGACTCACATATAGCCTGTCTACATCAGCTCTAGGATGCAGCTGTCCATGAATAGTAAGCATCTTCCTTGTTTTACGATCTAGGTCTGCAATTTCCTTCTGACTCCAATCTATGATTCCAAAACTGTATTCTACTATTGGAACAGCTATACTGTTGATGGCTAGCAGTTTATTTCGTGCTGTTAAGTCTGAACGTATTACCATCCTAAGCCTTCTTGGATATTCCTTACTGATGGTCTCTTTCATTTCATCATTACACAATTCTGGGTTTTCATAAACTCCAAGATATTTATAGCTTTCTCCAGCATCTAGGTTTTTGATGGTAATATTTCCCTGGACTGTTATGTTTTCCGTTTTTTCCACTTTTCCGTTCTTTATCGTCGCTTTGGCGCACTTATCTAATCCGAAGTTCATATGAATTGTGCTACTGAAGTCGTGAACTATCTTAATTTGCTCTTCAAGCGCTCTGTCTGAACTCGCGTATAACTTTAAATCATCCATGTACAGAAGATGTGTTGTTGGCTGCTCATCTTTGAGTAGTTTATATCCCAATTTTGGCTTTTGATTTAGCATTCTGGACAGGGGGTACATCACCATGCAGAACAGGAGAGGTGATAGTGAATCTCCTTGGAATATTCCAGATTCGATTTTAATCTGCGGGGTATTATTGATAGGTGCATCCTTAGATTGTATCTTTAGCTGGGTGTTCAATTCCTTCATACTTTTTTCACACAGATTGATGATGTTTGGGTCAATTTTGAATATTTTAAGTATTTTCAATATCCACTGGTGTAGTACGCTATCGTAAGCTTTTTGATAATCTATCCAGCATAATGATAGATTTTTCTTTTTACTGTGTACGTCCTTCATTGTCTTTTTGTTATATAATAGTAGATCTTTACATCCGTATGAACCTTTGCAGCATCCTCGTTGCTCAGCTGGAATCAACTGTTGAGCTATTAGGTGGTCATATATACGAGACGACATTATCCCAGTTAGTAATTTGTACAGTACGGATAAACAAGTAATGGGTCTGTAATTTTCTGGCTTAGAAGGGTCTCCTTTCTTGTAAATAAGATACGTGATGCCACTATTCATCCACGTGGGCAGATCTTCTTCTCCTTTTAGTATTTTTGTTAAGATTACCGTTAACGATTTATGGGTGGCACTTATCTTCTTTAACCAGTAATTATGGATTCTGTCAAGCCCACCGGCTTTCCAGTTGGCAGCTTTACTGAGTACATCCTTTATTTCCTTCTCCGTGATGCTTTCACCGGTCGTCATGCGTTCTAGGTGCTGATAACTGTCAATAGTTTCCTTCATCCATTCCGTGTTCTCGTCGATAATTTCCTTCCTGCGCCAGATTTCCGACCAATAGTGTACTACATCTGTCTTGCGATGTCTCAGCTTTTCCATTAAGTTCTTGGTATAACCTTCTGGTGTCATATTGGAATAAATAATTCTGTCTGCGGAATGCGACTCTTTTATTATACCGCTTTCTACGTTGAGCGTAAGCCTGTATCTTTTGTTTTAGTTGTTCTTCTACTCTTACCCGGTCTTCTAAATTGTTTATGCTGTATCGACAATTCAATTGTTCTAACTTTCTTCTTGTTGCATTTCTCAATTTTGAGTTATCTTCTTCATGGAGGATTGAGAGATCGGATCTGAGTTTTGTGATCTTGGCCTCTATTCGCTTCTCCCAGGGGGCAGAAGTCTCGGTGTATCTATTTTGTAGGTGTCTGATTGGTTCTTCAGTTAAGTTTTGATGTGGGCTTACTTTCATTGTTACTATTTTTGCTGTCGCATACAATAGGTGGTTAACCTCCGTAATATTTTCAATCAGTGTTTCTTCCAAGATTTGTGAAACTGCTTCGTTTGCTTGTTTTACTATCACCTTTAGTTTCATGTTATCTTCGAGATTTGGTAGTTTCAGTCTCTCGTTTATGGGTGAAGATTTCGTAGAAACGTATTCTTCGAGAATCTCCTGTTTGATAGTATTATCTGTTTGATTTTCACTCATATCTTCTGTATCCGGCTCAGTTGTCACTGAGTCCAACTCACGTTGCTCTCTCACTTCGATCCGTATTGCTTCGCTTACTTTACTTTTCATCGCTCTTATCATATTTTCATTAAATTTTCCGCTGTTCAGTAGATATCTGCGCTGCGTCGCGAGCTTCTTGGAATCCATGTATGGTCTGCTATTAGGATTCCTACTTCTCCACATGTTATAAACGTCTGCTTTGCCTATTGTAGTAACACCACATCAGTTCGTTAATTTCTTCATAACTCCAAGGCCTTTTAGCAAGTTGATTTATTCGATTCTCCTTAGAGCGTTGTTCAAGTGATGCTGGGCTCTGACCATATTCATCAGGGTAACCAGCAGCTCTTTCCGGATGGTTTTCTGTGATCGTTATGGCGTTGAGTCCGGTTTGAAGGGTCCTTTGTGTTACTGATCTAGTGGCGTATGTTGCGTTTGCCTGTGTTACCACAGCTGCGTAGTCTTGGTTTTGTCCATTCTCGTTCCTTTGTCTATAGCCTAGGGTGCTGTTAATCCGGGAGGATGCGCCACCCATCACACCTTCACTCCCTTCAGGCTGAGCATCACGACGGTTTCCGAAGAAGGGACCAGCCTCAATCACCTTCCCGCCTCGTAGTTTCGTCTTACTTCTCGTATTCATTTACAGTTAATTATTTTTCACATTGCCTCCGAACAATGGTGCAGCTCAGGGTTTGGCAGAATAAGAAGACTACCAAATCCCGAACTCCCCGTCTAGGGCGGTGGGGGCGACGCTCCCCATGTACCTTCCCTTAAGCCCGGGTCGTAGACCCGACCTTAAAAGTAGATACCCCCTGCGGGGTGATTATTATTATTATTAATATTATAATTATTATTATTATTATAATTATTATTATTATTATAATTATGATTATTATTATAATTATGATTATTATTATAATTATTGTAATTATTATTATTATTATAATTATTATTATTAATATTATAATTATTATTATTACTATTATAATTATGATTATTATTATAATTATTGTAATTATTATTATTATTATAATTATTATCATTATTGTAATTATTATTATTATTATAATTATTGTAATTATTATTATTATTATTCATTAATCATCTAACTGATTCACAGGCTTCCCTGGGTTAAGAACTCTGGCACATCGGTTTTGAAACAAGATGGCCCGTTCGAGGATGATGTTAGAAACATCTTGTTCTAGTTGCCGCCTAAAACTCTACGGACTACACTGCATGTGTCCAAGACGACCGACTTTTGCATAGGTAAGTATAATTCAAACGGTAATCCTAGTTGTTGCAGTGATGTTTTTAATTTTTTAGGTATTTCTCCAGTTGCTCCGATCACAATGGGGATGATGACTACTGTTTCCATGTCCCACATTTGGCAGATTTCATCGCTCAGGGGTAGGTATTTATTGATTTTTTCTCCATGTGTCTTTTCTAGGTTGGCTCCCAATGGCACAGCGAAATCAACTATGTATGTTTTGTTTTCATTTTTTAGAGTGAGCACGATGTCCGGTATGTTATTACTTATCGGTGTATCGGTTATAATTTTTCGATTCCAGTAGAGCCGGGTTTGTTCATCTTCGCATACAGCAGGCGGCTCGTATAAATAGTACGGCACCATTTCTGTCAATCCCATGTACTTTTCACGAAGGCTTTGGTGGATTATCTTTCCGACTCTGTTGTGCCTGTCTAGGTAGGATTTCGGTGCCAACATTGAGCAGCCATCTGATATCGTCTTGTCGTTCCCGCATTATGTTTCTTTTATATACTTTAGTTGCGATGACCTGGTCTTGGATAGCAGATATGAACCCTTCTGTCTCAGCAAACAGTTATTATTATTATTATTATTATTATAATTATTGGTAATATTATTATTAGATATTATTATTATTATTATTACTATTATTATTATTATTATTATAATTGTAATTATTATTATTACTATTATTATAATTATTATTATTATTATTATTATTATTATTATAATTATTATTATTAATATTATTATAATTATTATTATTAATATTATTATTATAATTATTGTAATTACTATTATTATTATTATTATTATTATTATTATCATTATTATAATTACTATAATTATGATTATTATTATTATAATTATTGTAATTATTACTATTATAATTATTATTATTATTATTATAATTATTATTATTATTATAATAATTATTATTAATATTATTATAATTATTGTAGTTATTATTATTATTAGAATTATTGGTAATATTATTATTATTATTATTTTGATTATTATTATTATTGTAATTATTATTATTATTATTATAATTATGATTATTATTATTATTATTATAATTATTGTAATTATTAATATTATAATTATTATTATTATTATTATTATAATTATTATAATAATTGTAATTATCATTATTATTATTATAATTATTATTATTCATATTATTATTGTTATTATTATTATTATTATTATTATTATTATTATTATTATTATTATTATTATTATTATTATTATTATTGAGTAGTGTATGGTCACATTTAGCTTATGCTGCATATATTCGTATATCCTACATCAGAGTGAATTGTTTAGTGTTTTTTGAGTTAATTAGTATCTGTGGGTTTGTGCATTCGTCTCATAAACGTGTACTAGTGCCTTGTAACTGTTAGTATTGGAATCTGTACGTGCATACCATGTCTGAAAGCAATCTGACCAACCAAGACAGTAACCTAACCTGCAAACGCTGTAGGAAAATAGCGCCAACAGGAATTTCCTGCAGCAAATGTGGCCGTGTAGCTCACAAGGGTTGCATTAAGCAGATGAGAGACGTCAAATACACCAACGACGATTTGTTGAATCGCTGCAAGAGCAGATACGCTACCTAAAGCAGGGGAAAACTACCGAATTTAAGTCGCATACTACGAGTAGTTACGCACATTCCTCCAGTTCAGCGCCGGTAGCAAAAAATAACCAGCTGTTCGAGCGCCAGCGATCTAAACACAAAGATGAAAATAAAGGAGACCACACACCTAAAATGTTGAGTGACACCCAAGTGATTGGGAACAGCAATTTGTCAAATGAAGTGCGACAGGCGAGTACTAATACGCAAAGTACACTTAACTCTCAAAGTAAATCTGAGAGGAGGAGGCGTTCTGGAAACTTACTAGTCGGCAAATTGACCAGTGATAGTGCATGCCCCCTGAAAGCAGCAAATTCAGCTCAACAAAACCGTCAGTACCAGTACCACGTCACAAAATTGGATACAAAGACTGAAATGCAGGCTTTAGCCAATTACCTGAAGGGCTTTGCTGCATCAGTACAGGTCGAGGAGCTGAATGCCAGGTATCCAGAAAGTTACAAATCATTCAAGGTGACATTATTAGCTACCGAAGCGGACAATATACTAAAGAGCGACATATGGCCGGATGGGGTAATAATCAACCGGTTTTTTCGCTCTAGAAGGAGATCAAACACCTCAGCGGGTCAACAACGCCCAATGCCTACGAACCCTTCACATCAATGTACAGGGCTTGCCAAGCAAGATTGATGATCTCAATTTGTGGTTAAATGATAATCCTGTAGATGTATTATGCATTTCTGAACATTGGCTTAGTGATGATCATTTGGCAATGGTAAACCTAAACCAATATTCTCTTATATCCTTTTACTGTCGCCCTCCAAGATTACATGGTGGTGTTGCTATATTTGCACGAATGAATCAGCAAATTAAACCCTTGGATTTAAATAATGTTTGTGTTCCATTCCATGCTGAATTTTGTGGGGCAAAAATTTGCAATATTGCTATTATAACTGTTTATAGATCTCCTTGTTTAGGAAATCCTTCATTATTTATTGATGCCTTCAATAGTTTACTGAATAGTATTTATTCTAGACATAAGAACTTATTGATACTTGGCGATTTTAATTTAGATTTCAGTAGTAATGTTGAAACAGTGACACACCTATGTAATATTTCAAATTCATTTGGCTTACGTCAATGTATTTATGAAAATACCAGAGTTACACCTACTTCGGCGTCTTGTTTGGATAATATATTGACCAACTTAAACAATGATAATATTGAGACAGGGACAATAGATTCAAACATTTCCGACCACTTAGGAATTTTTTGCGATTTTTTTATATTAAATGATGAGATTCATTCAATCAAACCGCCCAAAAGACGCATTATTACAAAAAAAGAATGGTTTCATTTGCCAACAGAATCCATAGTATGGCGTCCGACATGAACGTAGATTCTAACTCTGCAGATAACATGGCAAATAACATAGTATCTACCGTTTAATATCAAATTGTATCGATAATTGTTTTCCGTTAAAAGCTGTGGATAAGTCAGCTCCCAAAGTTAAGTGGTATACGCAGACACTGAAGCAGCTAAGGAAAGATATGGTGAACGCAAAGAGCCAGTTTTCGCATAGCGGGGATGAGCGTGATTGGGAGAGGTATAAGGATATACGTAGCATATACCGTCAAAAATTGAAATTGGAAAAAAGGAACTTTTACTCTGAAATGATACACCAGGCGGAAAATAAAACTAAAGCAATCTGGAAGATAGTCGATAGCGAGAGAGGCATCAGGAAACAGAAACACACAAACGTCTCAAGTGATGAATTCAATAGTTTTTTCAGTACTGTTTCTTGTAAAATTCTTGAGGGCATTGAAAAGCCTATTATTAATTACTTGTATCTCCTCAACCGTACTCCCAAGACACCGCATTCGTTCTTCATCTCTGCGATACTCCAAACAGATGTGAGATGTGCTATAGCACAACTAAAAGACTCACCCCCACTCCACTTCTATGGTATGAACAGTGCTATGTTGAAAATAGCCAGTGAGGATTTCATTGAACCTTTAACAATACTATTTAATAAGTGTGTTAATGAAGGCGTGTGGCCTGATGCTTTTAAATTGTCAAAGGTCATTCCCATTCATAAGAAAGGGAATGAAGATAATCTTGATAACTATAGGCCCATCACAATAATTCCATTAATAAGTAAATTATTCGAAATTGTAATCAAAGAAAAATTAATAAAGTACTTTGAAAAGCACTCCCTCCTTTCAGCTTCCCAATTTGGTTTTCGGAAGCACTGTTTAACCATTAAAGCCATGCTTAGTTTTCTTGAGGATGCATTAGAGTGCATTGACAAGAGAACCACCGCTCTAGCAACTATGTGTGACTTAACCAAGGCTTTTGACTGTGTAGACGCAGTTATACTGCTTGACAAATTGGAGTACTATGGGATCCGTGGCAAGTCATCCCAGCTTATGAGATCATACTTAGTTAATAGGAGACAGATGGTTAGCCTTGATGGAGTAGAATCCCAGGTTCTACCGATTACGAACGGGGTACCCCAGGGCTCTGTCTTGGGCCCTCTATTATTTTTAATCTACATCAATGACCTCCCACAAAATGTCAACAATAGCAAATGCTACCTTTTTGCAGACGACACTACTCTGCCCTCCAAGGCTACCCAACTTGACGAGGCCCACAGTCTCGACCAGGTTAAGCGGTGGTTCTCCGCAAACAAGCTCAAACTCAATGAAGCGAAAACCAGTAAGCTAAGAATAACTTCCGACAAATGGAATGAGACTTCATCATCCGTAAAGTTATTAGGGATCGTTGTGGATAGCCGCTTGACCTGGTCGGAGCATGTGGACTAGGTGTGTACCAAGATTTCCAGACAGATGTTTATCATGAGGCAACTGGCTCAGTGTTTGCACAGACAAACCATGAGAACTGTATACTTTAGCCTCATTCATAGTCATCTGTCGTATGGTATCATCCTCTGGGGTAATTCTGTCAAGGCCCAAAAAGCATTTACAACGTGCCGCCGTTTGTTCAAAGAGATGCGCATACTGCCGTTAGCATGCCTGCTCATACATGAGACCCTTTTACATGTTCACGCAAACCTGAGTACTTTTTCGATAAGATCAGAGACACACAGCTATAATACAAGATACGCTAATGATATATCATTACCGCAATCTAGGATCGCCATGACACAAAACAATAAGATTAATGTGTCGCTTTACAATAACTTTGTTAGATATCATAAGCGGTCCAATATTGAGAAGATGTCTAACAAACAGTTCTCTAGGTTTGTCAAAAACTATTTGTTAAAAAACTGTTTCTATACTGTAAGTGAATATTTAAGTGCATGTGATCCTAGTGATCAGTGATCGTGTGTAGAGCAAGAAGACAGACTGTATAAACTTTATCTAGTTTGTGACCTCAAACATGTATCTATATGTATAAGTGGTCAATAAATGGTATGGTATGGTATGGTATGGTATTATTATTATTATAATTATTATAATAATTGTAGTTATTATTATTATTATTATTAATATTATTATTATAATTATTGTAATTATTATTATTATTATAATTATTAGTAATATTATTGTTATTACTATAATTATTATAATAATTGTAATTATTATTATTATTATTTTAGTAATTATTACTATTACAATTATTATTATTATAATTATTATTATTGTTATTATGATTATTATTATTATTATTATCATTATTATTATTATTATTATTATTATTATAATTATGATTATTATAATTATTGTAATTATTACTATTATAATAATTATTATTATTATAATTATTGTAATTATTATTATTATTATTATTATTATTATTATTATTATTATTATTATGATTATTATTATAATAATTATTATAATTATTATTATTATTATTATAATTATTGTAATTATAATTATAATTATTATTACTATTATTTTGATTATTA